ATGGCCCTCCAATGCCATTTACTGAAGTTGGTAAAGGGTTTCATCTTGCTTGGATCAATCATCAATCCCCATAAAAGCGGAAGTCAAGAGATTAAAGGCCACATTGCAGCGCGTAAACCTATTACACAAGCTCTTTAAAATGCTGAAAAGCCAGATTAGTTTGAGAACTACGGTGGGCCTGACCCAAGCCATGGTGTTTTCAATTGTCTCACATGCATGTGAAAGTTGGACACTGAATAAGGAAGACAAAAAAACAATGAATGCATTGGAATTATGGTGCTGGTGCAGAGGACTGAAAGTATCATGGACCGCCAAAAACCTCCAACAAATCTGTCTTGGCAAAATGACAATTAGAATGTTCTTTACAAGCAAGGGCAGTGGCTTTATCTCACGTACTCTGAACAGGTTATCAGGAGAGACCAGTCCTGGAGAAAGGCATGTTTGGAAAAGCACATGGTCAGCGGAAACCAGGGAAGCTCTCAACAAGATGGCCTGACAGAGCAGCTGCAACAATGGGCTCAAACGTAAGAACTGAGGTGGTGCAGGACTGGACGCTGCTCTGCTGTCGGCAGGGCCACTATGAGTAGGGACGGACTCGGTGGCCTAATAACACCGTAACTGCCAAGTCTCTGAACTTCCTGGTCCCTAAGAGCATACTGAAGAGCATTTGAGTACAGAGGAAAGGCCCCCAAAGTAGATCATGGAGGATTAAACAGCCTTTGACTCCCTATGTGCCTCAGAAATAGAACCGCCCCCCCCCAGTACCGCTGTATCCAGCATTTACAGAAACCAAGGGGATGCCCTCGTGACCCTGACAATACTGAATCAAGATCCTCGTCTACACTCAACTGCAACCTGCCATCTGTCCACCAGAGTCAGCATCATTTCATAGTTGTATGAACTTAAGTGTGTACTTCTTGGAACTTAAAATGTTCCCCACTTTGGGGACTACTCGTTTCATCCTTAGGTAAGACAAAAACAAACACCATGAATAAAAATGACAAAAGTATGTTACCTGTGTGGTGACCATGAGTATCTTCAAAATCTGCAAACCTAGTTTCCATGGGATCTGGTGTCGGGCTCGGTATTTTTCACAAGGGTTCATGAAGTAAAACTTCAAGTCCTCCCTCAGGCATTCTTCCTCGGGCTCAGACTCCAGATGGGCCATTGCATTTCTGCCGCAAAAGATCACGTGTTCAATGGACAGAAGGGCCTCCCGGTGTGCAGGGGGTCCTGAGTAATACTTAACATTCACGTGCTCTACCCACTCTGACAAGCACGCTTCCAACAGGGAGCGTCTCTCCTCTTTTCTTTTTT